GGGGCTGGGGGCGCGGCGCCCGGGGGCCGGCCCCAGCCGCAAGGGGCCCCCAGCCGGGCCCGTCCCCCGCCTCGGGGAGCCCGGGCTCGCTGGTTCGCCTCTCGGCCGCGACCGGAGCGGTGCTCGGTGACGCCAGGCTGAGGACGCAGTCCGGGCCCTGCTGCGTGCCTGCGCCGCCTCCCCGGCACCCCCGGGCCCTCACCGTCACCGTCACCGTCACCCTCTGGGGCCAGGGCGGCAGCTGGCAGCGCCAGAGGCACCGAGGGAAGAGCAGGAGCCGGCGCCCGGCAGCGGGCGCTGAGCGGGGTCTCCCTCCGCCACCCGCACCACGCGCACGCTTTAACGACAGCTCTTGCTCTTAGCTTATGCCCAGGGAGCACGGAGGTCGTTGCCTTTCACAAAACACCTAGGCTGTTACTGGACGACCAGAGGAGCTCCCAGTTGAGAAGTGTATTTCGGTGCCTGTCCGGCTCCTCCACCTTTAACCTGAACATACGGTTTGATACCTTTGTTTTCTCCACCAGTCGGGCTCAGATCCCGTGAGCTGACTGACGGACCAGAAAGCCGCGCTCACATCACGCACTGCTGAGAGAGAACGTCAGAAGAAGCGGGTCCGTCTGAATGCAGCACCTGCGCCCGTCGAGCGCCCTCCCTCCCCAGAGTCAGCTGCGGTCAGGGCTGCAGAGGCCAGGACAGACGGGCTTGGTTGAACGGACGTAGCTGAACAAGGCGTGTGCCCTGCCAGGCTCCGTTTCGGGGAGGTACAGGCGTACCTTGTCCAGAAGATGACTTGGCCAGAAGTTATTGTCATTTGACTTGCTCATGTGCACAAACTTCATTTGCATTTTATTCCTTTGAAACTGCCTAAAAAAAAATAAAATAAGAGATAATAATATGTTTCACAGAAATAAAATTGTGGCCAGTTTCACTGCTGCTGCTACAAATGGCAAAAGCGAGACTGACAAGAACCAGCTACCAGGGCTTCCAGGCTTTGGGAAGCTCTGCCAGACCTGTGCCCTTTCCGATACTTTCGAGATGAGAGTTACGAATGGTTTTGTTTGAACAGACTGAGATGATGATCCTCAGTATTTCCTCAGTGGCACATTCAACCTGCCAACCTTTCAAACTGGGCTGCCAAATGACCTTTTTGAAGATAATTTTAATCCAGCTTTCCTTGTGTTAGATCCAAATACTTGCTGGATAAATTGAATATGTCTGTCATTATCATACATTATTTACATTAGAAATGCCAACTTGCAAAGCTGTCTTAAAAGCTGATACATTGCCTATCACTGCAGTATCTAAACACTCTTTAACTGAGACAACAAAGAAAGTCGTGCTCTACTTTGCTATATTTTTTCCTTCTAAAGGTTTCTTCACCAATCCAAACAGTTTGGATTGTTCAATTTTTGGAAAGAGAAAGTTCTTTGCCACTTTGGCAGCCCTGGTCTGGTAGGAGGAAGGTGGGATCACGCCGCTTGCCTCTGAGAACCAATTCTCGTACCCCTGTAACACTCAGGGTAAACTCAGAACACAGGCATCACTTCTTAAATGGGAGTCCAGTCATTTAAGAACTGAGCAGAGCTTTTGTTTTCAAAGTGCTATTTACTGCTTTCTGAAAAAAATCAACCCATGCAAATGGCCTTGAGACATTCTGATGTTAGGTTTAACAACTGAAGTGCAGTGTTTTCAGTATAACAGAAGGGTAGCTGCAGCTGTAAGGCCACCCAAGATCAGAGAGTAAAGCTCGATTCTTTGGGATTGTCTTTCTTCTAAAAGAATAAACATTCTCTGAGTGGGTTTCAGACACCATAGAGTCACTCTGAGGAGGACCTTCCGAGGAGAGAAGAGTGTCACCTCTGTAGCTCTCTGCAAGTTCAGGGTACAGAGCCAGACCCAACTAGGCTGTAACGCTCCTGCCGGGCACCACAAACTGCTCACCGGCACCACTGCAACCCGATGACTTCACTGAAATACAGACGCGGCCGTGCAGCCGAGGGGAGAATCTGCCTCTTCGCTGTCACTGGCTGCTCCCTTGCAGCATCCTGACGTTTCACTCCAGCGCCTCAGTCCCACCTCCAATGTGGCGGGGACTGAGCACAGAGGAGTGACACGCAACAGGGCAGCAGGAGGAGATCCTAAACCCTCTTTGAACAAACCTATTTTCCGCCTCTTTGGCCTGCTTTCTGGATGCAGTTCTCGATCTGGATGTGCTCACAGGTGATGGAGCAGGATCACATGCTGAGGTGTAAGATCCTCCAGGCTGCCTGATCCGCCTTATGTCTTCTCCCTCTTTGATGATCTTGTCTCCCGGGTGCAGCAGGGCTGTTGGCAAAGCGCACAGTGAAAAGAAAACAGTCATGCTTCGCCATGCCCCGCGATGGGGTGAGGACAGAGGATGATGAATGCATTTACCCAAGAAAACCCTTCAATTCGCCTGCTGCCCCAGGCCTGTCCCCCAGCTGCGCCCCCATCCAATCCAGATCACCTCTTCTAGTCTGTGATGCTGCCCAGGAGGGGATACGGCCACAGTGCAAAGGTGGAAGGTGTGAGGGCCCCGAGTGCACTAATAGGACTTAATGGCCCTGACCGGCTCCACCCAGGACCCTTCCCACAGGCGCAGGACCCCCACCTCGGCTCAACCCTTGCCCTTCAGTCCCACTGAGCTATGCAGCAGCTGCAGCCGTCTCCAGCTCAGCCACAGCCGTGTCTGTGCCTGGCCAGGGATCCCGCCGACCCTGACCCATGGACTTCCCAGCTTGACCTTGGACCTGCCACATCACCATGAACTTGTCTGATGATGTGGACTCTTGGTTGAACCTGGCTACCAACCCAGGGGCAACTGGCTCCTGCCCAGCCAGCCGTGGTATCGCACTGGGCCATTGCTGTGCCCAGACGCCGATCTGTAGCGCCCTTTGCTATCTCAGCCCTGCTCTGGCCCTAATGATTGTTTTCTGATCCTAACCAGCAGCATCCCATAGCCCTGCAGGGCTGCAAACATGCTTCATCAGCAGCCCTTCCTACATGAGCCATGTTTCTGAGCTTGGGAAGAGGCACAAACATCTCAGATTTACTACATTCACATCAGGCTTTACCTTTTACCAAGGTCTCTGCTTTACCTTTTTGCAGCATTAGCTCCGTGAGACGACTGTTGTGTTCTCTGCACAGTTTGAGGCTCTTCAGATAGCTCATGAAGCAATGCCTGCGGTACTGGTCCACCAGTGCTCCCATGTCCCCCTCTGCAGTTGACGGCAGGCAGTGCTCATCAACGGCTGCAGCCCCAGATCGCACCAGACGACACTTTTCTTTCCATTCTAGCGGGCTGTCTTTGTACTGCAAGTAAAGGACAGGTCCCTGTTAGCACTGCTGGGCAAGTGCATCTGTGCACTTGCCAAGGTGCTCCAAATAAAGTGTTTTGGGGTGAATTAGTCGGTGTTATAGTTCCATTTGATCATCTTGCACTTACCCTGATAACTGAATAGGACAAAGTGCTTACCAGCATCTTGTGGGACAAATCTTAGTCCGGTGGGCACATCAACTCAGTGATCAGGAAAACTCCATCCCCAGACATAAAAATTGTTTCAACATCATCTTTTTCGTGCCGTATACCCATAAAAAATGTTAATCTCACCAAAGCATTCAGAAGCTAAACCAATTGTTTTAGAGGGCTTGTAACACCTCAGCTGCAAGTCCCACGTGGTCAAGGGACACTAAACAGCAGCTCCCTGCCTTTCCTTTCCTGCTGTACCTCTAAACCTGTCCTCTAAACCACCCCACACCCGTCAACGCATGCAGGTGCACTTGTTTTCCCGCCACATACACCATACCTTCTTCCATCGCCTCCTGTCTCTGAACTGTTTTCCAGTCTCTTCCATTTCATCATAGCTTAGATATCTGCGTTCTGGCTCAATGTTGACTGGGGGAACTTCTAACAGCCTTAACTGTGTTTCAGGCTTGGTAGGAGCACGAGGCTTTGTCTCTTTGGCTTTGCCCCCAGCAGAAGTTACACAACTGACGGTTGTGCAAGTGTCTTTATGGGCTTGTACACCTGTGATAGATCAAAAACCAACCAAACAAAAATCCCAGAGGAACTGTGTTACAAACTAGCAGAAACACCAAGGCTCACAACATTTAAGACAGAAGGTTTTTGCATTTCATCCAAATTGGAACTCCCAGCAGACTCAGATCTTTGAATGAAAACATCCTTTAGCTTTTGATCCAGACACAAATATTACAGACGGCCCCATCCCTGCTTTGCAGTTTCCCAAAGTGTTTTGCTGTGTTTCATGCTTACAAAGTCTGTTTATTCTACAAAGCAGTTAGTGCAATGCAACAGCAGCAAAATGCCTCTTATCTCACAGATGTGAAAACTGCAGCTTAAGATGACACGGGTACCATGAGAAGCCTTGAGGTTTGGGTCAGGTTTTAAAAGATAACCTCTTCTGAATCTGTGTTTTCCAGCTGCCACCAACAGCTGGAGGAAGGGTCTGCTTTTGATCAGCTCGATGATCGATGCTAACTAACAACATCTAGTGCAGTGCATCAAACCTCAGGGTTCAGATTTTAAGCCAAACGCAAACGACTGGATAATCTGTCTCCTGCAGTTGGGGTGACTACAGTATTGCACACCTCCTGGACCCTTCAGCTTTTCCCCAGAGAAGTCTCCTTCTGTCCACTCTGCTACAGGGCAGTGGCCTCAGGGAACCACATTCTGGATGCAGTTCGATATTTCCTGTCAGTAAGGACACAGAATCACAGAATCGTTTAGGTTGGAAAAGACCCTTAAGATCATCAAGTCCAACTGTTAACCTATCACTGCCAAGTCCACCACTAAACCATGTCCCTAAGCACCACATCCACATGGCTTTTCAATACCTCCGGGGATGGGGACTCAGCCACTTCCCTGGGCAGCCTGGCTACCCTTTCAGTGAAGAAATATTTCCTAATATCCAACCTAAACCTCCCCTGGCAAAACTTGAGGCCATTTCCTCTCGTCCTATCGCTTGTTACTTGGGAGAAGAGACCGACCCCCACCTCATTACAACCTTCTTTCAGGCAGTTGTAGAGAGCAATAAGGTCTCTCCCCTCAGCCTCCTTTTCTCCAAACTAAACAACCCCAGCTCCCTCAGCCACTCCTCATTAAGACTTTTGCTCTAGACCCTTCACCAGCTTCGTTGCCCTTCTTTGGACACGCTCCAGCGCCTCTATGTCCTTCTTGTAGGGAGGGGCCTAAAACTGAACACAGTACTTGAGGTACGGCCTCACCAGTGCTGAGTACAGGGGGACGGTCGCTTCCCTGGTCCTGCTGGCCACACTATTTCTGATTCAAGCCAGGATGCTATTGGCCTTCTTGGCCACCTGAGCACACTGCTGGCTCATGTTCAGGCGGCTGTCAACCAACACCCCCAGGTCCTTTTCTGCCAGGCAGCTCTCCAGCCACTCCTCCCCAAGCCTGTAGCGTTGCATGGGGTTGTTGTGACCCAAGTGCAGGACCCGGCACTCAGCCTTGTTGAACCTCATACAGTTGGCCTCGGTCCATCGATCCAGCCTGTCCAGATCCCTCTGTAGGGCCTTCCTACCCTCCAGCAGATCAACACTCCTGCCCAACTTGGTGTCATCTGCAACCTTACTGAGGGTGCACTCGATCCCCTTGTCCAGATCATTGATAAAGATATTAAACAGAACAGAGCCGCTTTCCCAGCACAGTGCTCTCCTCTCACCTGTTTTGGTCTCTCTGGATTGTCCTTTCATCATTTCCAGCCACTGCTTTTGACATTCAATCAGATCTTCATTGCTTATAAAAGCCCCCCTCTTTGAGGAAGCCAGGAAGATGATCACAGTCTCCAGGTCCTTGTCGCTGATGGGAACTTTGCTCTGGCAACCAAAACCAAAATAACAGAGTCATCACAAAAACATAGAGGCTGGGCCCAGAGCTAGGAGGGGTAAACTCTGCAGTTGTTCCAGATGCTTTTGCAGGGAAGGATGGCACAGAGAAAACCTGGTGAGGTTTACTTGGGTTTATCAAATATTAACAACTTCACTGGACCTTTGCCACCCTCTGCAGAACTCTCAGCTGTTACCATGCCGAACTCCCCAGCCCTTGGGGTTTCGAGAACATACTTTTGCTTGGACTATAATATCAGACTACATCTGAACTGCTAAACCCAAATAGCCCTGAAAGT